ACCCGCCTCCGAGGTGCCCGCCCAGCCGCTCCCCGGGAACCCCCCCAGGAGAGCCTATTACATCTACTCGGGAGGCGAGAAGATCCCGCTGGTCCTGAGCAGGCCGCTCTCCTCCAACGTGGCCACCCTCCAACATCTCTGTCGGAAGACCGTCAACGGCCACTTGGACACCTATGAGAAAGTCACCCAGCTGCCTGGCCCCATCCGGGAGTTCCTGGACCAGTACGATGCGCCGCTCTAAGGGGCCAAGGGCAGGGGTCGGGCGAGGGGCCCGGGTCCCCTCTCCTCCGTGGCACATGGCACAAGCACAAGAATCCAGTGGAGAGAGTCCTGCCGCCCTGGGTGAGCCCAGGGGTGGGCCGGCCCCTCCCGCGAGCCCTCCCCCTGCAGAAGGGGGCAGGCGGGGCCTGGAATGTGTTGGAGGGCAGGGGAGTGCCACCTGGGCGCCCCTCCCCCACTTCGGCCAGCTGGCCCAAAGGGACCACTGCAGCAACAGCATTGGATTGATTCTCCTCTTCTCTCCGCTTCCTTGAACTAGTGAGAACTGCCGGGGGATCTGGAAACTTTCCGAAGGAACTTGTTTGCTCTTTGATTTGGTTTTAAACATGGCTTTCATCCTGAGCACGTCTCAGGCCTGGGGAAGAGTGGACCGGAGAGGGCGCCCCGGCCCCAGGGCGACAGGCTGGCCAAAGAAACGGCCGCTCCCACCGCCAGCCCAGGTGAGGAGGGTGGCTGCGTGCTCCTCCCCCGGCTCTGGAGAGAAGGCCAAGGGGTGACCTGAAGGGTACCCCTCTGCTCCCTCGCCCTTGGGGCAGCCACCAGGAAACACAGGTCCTAGAGTCCACTGAGGGCTCAGCAGCCCAGGGCCCTTCCCCCGTTTTAAGGGGGGAGTGGCATTTGGAGGGGGAGGGATGGACGGGCTGGTCAGTTCTTCCCCCCACCCCTCACACTATACCTCCCAGCACCTGGGGCTGGGGGGCTGGAGGAGATGAGCCATCTTTGACCCCTGATCCCGGCCAGAGAAGATGGAGGGTCCTGCTTTGTGCCTCCTCCTATGTCTGGCTCGGAGATTTGCCTTAAACACTCCCCGTCCCGTGGATGGGGACTGGCACACAAGAACCACACGCTCGGCCGATCCAGGCGAGGCCAAGGGATTTCGCCAGCCCCAGGCCCTGCACAGCGCCCCCTCCTCACCTGGGGACGGATCCTGCGTGGAGCCATCCATCGACAACAGCACTGATCGGTGAAAACTTACAGGAATGTAGCAGCGATGGAATGACCTGGAATTGTTTTTCTGGGGGGTGGGGGAGAACGAAACAGTTTCCTGTGTTGGGTATTGGTCTGGATGGGGCAGCTGTGTGTTGGGGTGTTTTTTGTGTGTTTTGTTTTGTTTTTCCTCGTTATTTTGGTTTTGTTTTGGGTTTTTTTGATGATGTTTACAACCTGCCTCACTCTGTCTTTTATAAAGATTCCACCTCCAGTCCTCTCCCCTCCCCCACCCAGGCCTTCAAGGCTGTTAGGAGATGCTTGAACTCAACAAAATACCAATCCAAGTCAAACTTTGCACATATTTATATTTATATTCGAAAAGAAACATTTCAGTAATTTATAATAAAGAGCACTATTTTTTAATGAAAAACATGACTTGATCTTTTCTCCCTGCCCCCCCCCGCCCCCCCCCTCCCCGCCTTGCTTTTTCTCACCCAC